GGAGGGGGAGGGGGAGGGGGAGGAGGAGGAGGAGCTGTCTGGCAGCATGGTGAGACCTGCCTCTGAAGAATTCCGGAAAGTTTTGAGATCCTAACCTGGCAGGTCCTAATACTAAGGAAATCATCAGGGGATCAGTACAAACAATTAAGTTGGGAAACAGATCTATGCCTGGGAACTAGAGTCTAGAAATAATCCATGTTTCTGTGGAAAACAGTATTTTTGACAAGAATACTAGCCATTCAGTGAGGGAAAGAATAATCACTTCAATAAATGGTTAGGCACCAGCAATGAACAATAGGATAGTCGTATTCCAAAGAATGAAGTCAGAAACTTATAAAAATAAAAACATCATAAATTAAATATTTAAAAGTATTAAACTCTTAGAAAAAAAACATAGGGATGCATATTCAAAATTTGGGATTTTATAATTAATTCTTAGATATGACACAAAATATGAACAACAAATTATAAGTAGATTAAACTACTTAAACTTAAAACTTTTGTAATTCCAAGGACACTACAATGAGAATGAAAAGACAATTTTAGAATACCATAGGGGGAGGGGCAAGATGGTCAACAGGCACCAACCTCCAACAGAAGCTCCTGTCCAGAGTGAAGGATAATGTCCAGAAAATACACAATAAATTTGAAGATAGGGAGCCCGGCTGAGAGAGAAGAGTGATAACTGCAGGACACATCTGTTGAAGCAAGTTGAGACCCCAAGGAAGCAATTTACAGGTACATAATACATCCCCAAGGAAAAGTGTCTGTCCCCTCCCCAAAGAACGTTGTAGTTTTCTCTTCGTCTGCTCCTATAAGTTTTCTACAGGCGAGCGGTGAACTGAGGACCTATTATCTCACCACACGTGTGAGAACCACAGGGAAGGGGGGTCTACTCCCCTAAAGGGACCCTGCTGAGATTCTAAAGACTCTCTCACCTGGCAGAAAAAACGAACAAACGTTTTCAATGCCATTTTGAATTTCCAGTTCACCCTTCCCCCCTTACCTACAGAGACAGTGAGGTGGGGCACAAGAGCAGCATTCCCCACCCCTGCGAGACCAAGCACCCAGTTCTGGTACTCCAGTCGGAGACCTGCTGGACCCATGTGCATTCCATGAGTGGTGGTGGAGGAGCACCCCCATTCCAGGGACCCATGTGGGAGGCCCCAGAACTGCTTGCTAGAGCAGCGTGCCTCCCCTGGACAGCGGGTGGCGGTGGAGGAGTCCCCTACTCTGGGCCAGCCCAGAACTGCTTGCTAAAGCTACTTGCAACCCGTGGGCAGCGGCAGAGGAGTCCCCTGCTTCAGGCGGGCCCGGAACTGCTTGATAGAGCTGTGGGTGTCCCTCAGGCAACTGCAGAATAGTTCCCTGCTCCAGGTACCTGCATCCAGTGAGCCTAGAACTGCCCAAGCTGTACACCCCCGGCATCCCTGGCCAGCCACCCAAGAACTACGAAAGGACGGTGAGTTCAGAGGGAACCATACTAGAATGGTAGTATCCCAGGGGAAGAGCAACAGCCACGGCAGTGGGAAAAACAAGGTTCACACCCCTAAGGCTCTTCCAGACAGACACACTCTGCCTCCCTGGGCAACCAGAGGAAGCTGGCATCTTCTCCAGTAGAGGCCACTGACTGAACAGTGCTGGCATGGTCTCCAAACGGTGTAAATTCAGCATGGGGTGGAATCAGTGGAAAAACTCTGGTAATTTGAAAAACCAGAGTAGATCAACTCCCCTAAGGAAAAATGGGGCAGATGCAATTGAAATCCCCATCCATAAACAGATGACTGAAATGTCAGAAATCGAGTTCAGAATTTGGATAGCAAATAAGATGAACAGAATAGAAGAAAGAGGGAATTATAATTTCAATAAATTATTCAAAATATGTCTCAAGGAATTATTCAAAAGATGTCTCAAGAATTCAACGATTTCAAAGATAAAATGACCAAAGATTTTGAAACACTGAGGCAAGAGGTCGTAGCCCCCAAATGCCTGAAAAATATGGTAGAATCCCTCAGTAACAGGATGGAGCAGGCAGAAGAAAGGCTCTCTGACCTTGAAGACAAAGCTTCTGAACTTGCCCAAGCATGCAAGGATGAAGAGAAATGGAGAGCAAAAATGGATCAGTCTCTCAGAGAGCTCTGGGATAATTCAAAGAAAACTAATATTCGTCTCATAGGAATCCCTAAAGGTGACAAGGTGGCTTCACAAAGAACAGAGGCTCTACTTCATGAAATTATGAAATAGAACTTTCCAGACATGCCAAGAGATTCTGAAATTCAGACAGCAGACAGTTTCAGAACCCCAGCATGACTCAACCTGAACAAGACATCCCCCAGGCACATCATAATTAACTTCACTAAATTCAATATAAAAGAGAAAATTCTGAAAGCAGTGAGATGTAAGAAAACCATAACCTACAAGAGGAAGAATATTAGAATGACTACAGATCTCTCTGCTGAAACCTATCAGGCTAGAAGAGGTTAGTCATCGACTTTTAACCTCCTAAAACAAAATGACTTTCAACCCAGGATCCTCTATCCAAGTAAACTAAGTTTCACTTATGATGGAGAAATTAAATACTTTAATGACATTCAGACGTCAAAAAAATGTGCTATAACTAAACCAGCCCTCCAGACTTATCTTCCATAATGACCAGTGCAATCCTCTACCACATAAGTAAGCTCACACAGAAAATTTTAATCAAATTCCAACTTCCACAGGGGTGAAAGGTTAAAGTTGTCCACTGGACTTTTGAAAAAATCGATATCCAAAATTATACCAGGTTTATCAATATTCTCAATCAATGTGAATGGCATAGACTCAGGGTGAAGGGATGGTCATCTATATTCCAGGCAAATAGAAAGCAGAAAAAAGCAGGTGTTGCAATTTTATTTGCAGATATGTTAGGCTTTAAACCAACAAAAGTAAGCAAGGATAAAGATGGACACTTTATATTTGTTAATGAGATTTCAATCATCAATATTTATGCACCCAACCAGAGTACACCTCAATTCATAAGAGATACTCTAATAGACATGAGCAACTTGATTTCTCACAGCTTCATCATAGTTGGAAATTTTAATACTCCTTTGACAGTGTTGGATAGATCCTCCAAAAAGAAGCTTAGCAAAGAAATTTTAGATTTAAACTTAACCATTCAGCATTTGGATTTAACGGACATCTACAGAACATTTCATCCTAACAAAATTGAATACACAGTTTTCTCATCGGCCCATAGAACATACTCCAAAATTGACCACATTTTAGGTCACAAGTCTAACCTCAGCAAATTTAAAAGAATAGAAATCATTCC